CCGTCCACACACAAAAGCCATGGCGATCCTTCACAATTCGTTGGAGACGCTAAGTCGGGAGGAGGCGGTCCTTCTAGAACGGGATGCTCCCCCGAAAACTCAGCTATGAAGTCTGCCAATATTTGACCTTTTATCGCAGTTCGGGGTTTGAAATGAATGTCGTGCTCCCCCAACTCTACTGCCCACTTGAAAATCCTTCCGGAGAGTTCCGCTTTCCTCAAGATTGCTTTCAAGGGCTGATCGGTAAGGACAGTGATTGGGTGCGCCTGGAAATAATGCCGCAGTTTCCTTGCAGTGGTGACCAGGGATAGAGCCAGTTTCTCTAGGGGTAGATATCTTGTCTCTGCGTCCAGGAGCGCCTTGCTTATATAGTAAATCGGCTTCTGGCGGTGCTCATGCTCACGGATAAGTACCCCGCTTACCGCAAACTCAGATACTGCCAGGTACAAGAACAGCATCTCCCCCTGGATGGGGACGGACAAGGTTGGAAGAGTCCTTAGGTATTCCTTGATTCCAGCCAGGGCGTCCTCGCACCCCTGGCTCCACATATTCTTCCCAGCACTCTTGATTGCTCCGAAAAAGGGTTTGCATTTGTCCGAGGAGCGTGAGACGAAACGGTTAAGTGCAGCCAGCATCCCTGTGAGTTTCTGGACTTCTCGGACAGTGCGGGGGCTCCGGATGTCCAGGATCGCTTGAATCTGATCCGGGTTGGCTTCGATTCCTCGTTGACTAACCAGGTATCCGAGGAATTTACCTGATTCCACTCCGAAAATGCACTTCACCGCATTCAGCTTCAGCCCATACTCCCTGAGGGTGGAGAAGGTATCCGCCAAATCTGTCAGATGATCACAACTCGTTTGCTCTTCACCAGCATATCGTCTATGTAGACCTCCATGGTGTTGCCGATCTGCTTTTTGAACATCCGATTCATCAGTCTTTGGTATGTTGCCCCGGCGTTCTTTAGTCCAAACGACATCACTTTGTAACAGTAAACTCCCTTCGGAGTGATAAACGCCGTCTTTTCTTGATCCGGGGCATAGAGAGGGATCTGATGATATCCTGCTCGGGCATCCAGGAAGTCCATTCGTTCATATCCGGCAGTGGCATCTACTAGCTGGTCCACCTTTGGCAGGGGGTAGTCATCCTTGGGACATGCCTTGTTCAGATCTGTAAAGTCTACGCAGACACGTCATTTCCCCCCTTTCTTCTTTGCGCACACCGTATTAGATAGCCATTCTGGGAATTGTATCTCTCGAATGGCGTCGGCCTTCAGGAGTTTGTCGATTTCCTCGTTGACCGCGCTGGTGTGATGTGGGGCCATGCGTCGTGGCCTCTGTTTGACTGGCTTGTGCGACGGGTCAACATGCAGCCTGTGTGTGATTATCTCGGGGTCTACCCCCGTCATTTCCATTTCGTTCCATGCGAACACGTCTGTATTTCCCCTTAGGAACTCGATCATCTCCTCTTGTTCGGCTGTGGGCATCGAGGTCCCAACTAAGAAATACCTCTCTTCTTCTCCCTCTACCAAGGGCACCTTCCGGAGGTCTTCTACCGACCGCTCAGTTGGGTCTATCCGGGGGTCATCCATTCCTGGACGCCCGGACTGTAATTGCTATTTTTCCATAATCTCTTCCGGTGCTCGCCCCTTCTCCTGGCTGAACGCCCCGGCTCGAACGGCTGAATAAAAATAGTTTTTCGCGGACGCTTGGTCCCCCCGGATCTCCATGATACCCTCTGGCGTGGCGAATTTTAATTTCTGGTGGAAAGTGGAGTGCACCGCTCCCAACGCATGCAGTCATGTTCGCCCCATAATCACGTTGTAGGGAGAGTCCGTATCGATCACGACAAACTCGGTGTCGATGACAAAGGGACCTGTGACAACTGGCAATGTGATTTTCCCCACGGGCAGGGCGAACGAGCCGTTGAACCCGATGAGGGGTGTCCTGACTTTGGTGAGGTCTTTGGGGCCAAGACCCATCCGTTTCAAAGTTTCGAAGTACATCACCTCCGAGGAGCTTCCAGAGTCTATCAAAATCCTTTTGACATCGAATTTCCCTATCCTCAGGGTCAAGACAAGGGCGTCGTTATGAGGAGTCACTACGCCTGTCAAATCCGCGTCGGAGAATGTAATGCCAAGCTCACCCGTCCTGGCCCTTTTACTTGGTGGCCCTACATCAACCTCGGCTACCTTCCTGGTAAAAGCTACCCTCTTGAGGTCGGACTCGAGTTCCTTGGACGTGGGGCGATCCAGGGGACATATATGGATGACATCTATGATGTTGTCCGGCTCCTCGGTCGGGGCAAGGGCTCGTCTCTCTTCTGGCCTGGGCTCTATGTACTCTTTCAAATATCCGTCTCGGACCAAGCTTTCCAAGAACGATTTGAACACCCTGCAGCTTTCGGTGCGATGCCCGAAATCCCGGTGATAGGAACACCTAACCTTTTGATCACGGGTGGAGGGGTCGCTCTGCATCCTGGGCGGCCATTTGAAGAACGGCTCGTGCTTGATTTTATGGAGCAGCTTGAAGATGGGTTCCTTGAACACAGTATGAATTCCTTTGGACGGACCCCTGGAGGGGGTAGCAATCCCTTTCGGGGAATATCTTCCCGCTCCTTCTCTTTTCTCTTAGATTGGAGGGCTCGGCCTTTGCTGCTTCCCATCTCGTCCTCAACCCTCGAGTATTTGTTTATCCGGGCCATTAGTTCCCCCATATCCGAGGGGGTCTTCTTGGTCAGGGATCGGTACAAGTCCGTGTCCCTTGCCAAGCCGAGCCGGAAAGATGCTGCTGCCATGACCTCCGAGCAGCCTTCTACCTCATTAACCTCTTCCCAGTATCGGATGGCGTACTGGCGAAGAGTCTCGGATTCTCTCCGTCTGAGGGTCAGCAATGATCCAATGTCCTTGGGGCGCTTACTCCCCGTGATGAATCGAGTCATGAACTGCTTAGTCAATTCCTTCCAGGACCCAATACTGTTGGGGGGAAGCGCCTCGAACCACTTCATCGCAGAGTCCCCCAAGCTCATAGGAAACACTCGGCATAGAAACCGTTGGTCCGAATGATAGAGGGACATCATCTGCTTGTATTGCCTGACATGGGCTTCGGGATCGGATCGCCCGTCATAAGTTTTGAACCGCGGCACGACAAACTTTCTTGAAACCTCCATCTCACTGATCGACAGCCTTACCCTTTCTCCTGGAGTCTAACCGGGCTTTGAGATCAATCTTTCCCTGATGGGATGCCTTCTGAAGTCCCTGAGTTCATCGGTAAGCCCCTCATTTCCTGGGCGTCGTGTGGATTGGGTTGAGTCCTCCTCGGATTCATCTCCCGTCCTCCGTCTAGACAAACCTCGCCGGAGGTCGTCCAGGGCCAATGACCTTGCTTTCCTTGAATGGTTGTTACGATGATGCCCGCCGGCTCTGGGTCGCTTTGGGGCCCTAGAGCTTTCTGCTTTGTTGTTTAGGTGGTTTCTTAGATCCTTCGTTTCCGCTTCCCAGGCGGGAAGCCCACGGGACAGGAATGAATCTCTCGATCCTTCACCAGAGGCGGCAAACTCGTTGAGCCGGCTTAGGACGTTTACATTGTCCTTTTCCAGCTGACGTAATCTATCGCCAAACTTTTCTTCAATCACCTCCGCCAGCTGACGAGCCAAGGGGGCTGATCCCCCTGACCTGATTCCCATACTGGTTTGAGGGGTAACCCCTCTTGATCGAGTAGAGGCACTTTTATTCGTATTGGTGTGATCCCTTCCTCCGTGATGACAGGGAGCTTGTAACTCGAGACTCCTTTGGTGGGGTCCTTTCCCTTTCTGTCGAGTATTCACCATGGTCACTGTTCTTTATAGAGAAAAAAACTAGGAAAACCAGTCGTTTCCCACAGACGGCGCCAGATTGTGCGTGCAAGATCCTGCACAATATAAAAAACGAGAACAGATCTCTCCCTTGGTGAACTTCGAGTGAGCCAGTTGAGTGACCAACCACGCTGCTTGGAACAGCCTGCGAGGTCCGGTGGTAACCTGGAACGGCAATGGGAGACCCTGGGGGAGCGGAAGAACGATCCAGTAAGGCTGAAAGAGGTTCCTGGAACAAAGAAGAACAAGTTAGAAGGGCGCCGGAGTGTTTTCCGGCGTATCCCCTCCGACGATCTAGTCAGTCTTTTAGAAAGAGAGAGGAAGGAGAAAACACTGAGTGAGTATTGTAGTAAAGAGTTTTTTGTTGCATACCCGTCTTGCCTTTTGCAAGGAGTATTTATACCTCAAAAGCTCATGATTGCTGTCAGTGTAGTCAGTAGGTGATCATTAGGTACAGGCAGTGTGCGCACTGATTCTGATGAGGAATGTCTTCTCTTCTTAACTGCTCGGGGTCCCGAGCAATCAATGCTGTGTCATCGGGATGCCGACGGTACAATGTACTCCTCTCGGGGAGGAGGCAATAAATGCACTGTATTAGGAGCATTTATTGCCTTTCATTTCCGAGCCTTACCGCATTGAATGCGGTCTCATCAAGGGAATGGTGTAATTAATAGTTTGCTTTCCCAAGCCGCGTGTCAGCAACGGCATGCGGTTTCTCTGTCTTCGATGTGATATCATACGCCACGCGTCCATCCCTATTGGCTGTGACCCCTGCATTCCAGTACGTTCTGACACTAACTGTGTAAGACGAGGTCATGATGAATAGCCTAGACTAGCCTAGGCTAATGACCTGTACGTCAATAGCTTATCCTGGATTAGAGGAGGCGTCCAGGACAAGGTACACCTCGGCACCGAGGAAAAGCTCATCTCGGAACCGAGGGAGGGATACCGACCGAGGTACCATATCATACCGAGGCCACGTGTCGGTTGTAAAACGTACTGAATGCCATGATCCTATATGACGAGTACCTCGGGGGCGAGGACCTTTATGTGCCGATGGTGCTTGATCTTATCAACAGTGTTTTAGTAATACCGAGGACACGTGTCTTCATCATAGAGTATTTCAGAAAAGTCCCATCAAAAATCAAAAATTAGCTATGTATATGTTTGGGGTTGTAGATATGCATAAAGGGTTTGAGTACTGAGGTTTTGGAAGTTCTGATTTGGTGAAAGGTGTTCTTGAGATCATCACCATTGGACGCAGTGATGAGATTACCGTGGTTATTATTATTGGGTAAATTTATCCCAACTTTCTTTGCCTTTTCTTCTTTGCCACTGCCTCTATTCTGACCCGGCTCCGGTTCATCACCTGTTAAAAAACTACTGTTGACCAAAAAGGTATCAATTTGATCACCAGCACCAGCTCTTTTGCTATTACAGCAGAAGATCCTCAGCCCATAGTTATGTTCACATTATTCCCCCCTTATTTCTCCCATGCCTAGCAATTTAGTATATAATACACCAGAGATTGCTAAGGTTTAAGAGACTTAAATACATGGGGTCTTATCTTTGGATACGAAGAGGTTGTTTCTATAATTTTAACTCGCGATATTAAGATCACGATATATAAAAACTGTCCATTTTTCAATAATTAAATTTGGGCACGTTTTGGAACTTCATATAGCAAATTCTTTTTAACACCTGTATGTAAAATTTAGGTTCCCAAAAGAGATTGGAACATTGGTTGAAGAAAATCCTGAACCAGATATGGTCTCATGGCATGTGGGCATTGATGATCTTGATTGCGTTTGATGAAAAGCGGCAATCTGGATTTGAACCCGAATCAGTTACACTCCTTGGCCTTCTCTCTTCCTGTTCTAAGACGGTTGATTTGCACTGTGGAGAGTTGATTCATTCATATATAATCAGGTAAAGATTTACATGATTGTTGGTGTTTCTTTGGACCCCTCTAATAGATGGTTTCATATTTAATCAGATGCCTGAAAAAGGATACAATTGCTTAGAATGTACTGCTCAATGGGTTCACAGATGCAGGGAACTTGGTTTCTGCAATGATTTTTTGGAGCAATGACCAAAGGGTAATTGGTTTCATGGAACAGTATGATTGTTGGGTGTGGTCACCGAATAAGTCAAGAGCTTTTTCAAATAGTTAAAAAAATGTTCAAATGCTCTGCCATATTGATATGGGCATTAAACCAATCAATACTTCTATGAGCATGGCTACAGATCCGATGTCCTAACCACAGGACAAAAGGGACCAAAAAGTCATTATTTATATACCATTGTTCTCTGTTGCTCTCAGCTGTGAGATAGTTCAACTTGCTCAATAAATCTCATGCATAAAATCAACTAAAAAGGAGACAAAACTAAGAAACCCAACGAGGAAAGATAAACCGGGAGTAGATGGTAATGCCAGTGCCAGTCACATTCAATTTGAACATTCAAAAAAAAAAAGAGAGAGAACACTGACTAAGCAAATTATACTATCTAGCATGTCGATATTTTTCAGAATAGGGGTACAGATGCATCACCAACAACCTGGGGCAGTGTCTCATGTAATTTATACATGGTGACTCAGGCATATGATAGTCAAGCCAATTAACCCGGAGATTGCCTCAGTACTGAAGATTATGATGTTCAATACAAAAGCAGATAATCTTTCTTTGTTGCAAAAACAAAAGGTACTGCTACTTGGTCATTGCACAGCTTGTAAATTATTGACACCAGATTTCAAAAGAGAAGAAAGATAAGCTCAGTTGAGAGAGAGAGAGAGAGAGAGAGAGAGAGAGAGTTAATGCTTGAGCATTTCTATAGTTAAATGTAATATTTTTTTAACAAGATAAAACAAATTCTCTTTTCACATTTCTCATTCTTTCTTTCATTGTTCTGTTTGGGTTTTTCTTTCTTTTGTATTATTTTCTTTTTGTTTGGGGTGGGGCAGCTTCCTTGCTCTGTGTCGCATTGCATTTCCAAATCCTTCTATAATGGATGATCGGCTCCTGGATAGAGAGGCTCCTTGCACCATATAATTTGGATATCACCACCGAATGTGGCTATGAAAGCATCTTCCATGCCTCAGCAACCTTTCTTCAGAGAATAGTTAATAATCAAGTCAGCTAACGTCAGAAAATGCTCCCAGCGGAAACTTCTTGCACAGTGCTTCAGCAGCTGCTTCTATTCTCGCTTGATCCTGCAGATAGTGACAAAAGATTTCCACGTAATTCACTTAGTTTTCTGGCTTAGTGATTTCAAACACACCTCAAATACTTTGCAACCCTTCTTTACCTTGCCTTCAAAATTTATTATCAAAGCCCCATTTCTGGATTTGCGATAACACCCTTAAATTTGTAAAGAGTAAAAAAAAGCAATTAGAAGAGATAAAAACTAGACATGCTATAAACATGATAGTTAAGACAAGTTCTAAAAATTCTAACCAATATAAAGATCTGGGAATTCAAGACAAAGTTTTGATAGAGGTTGAGCAGCTTCTACCTACATATATGGAACACAAAATAGTTAGAGAACACCAAAAACAAATTAAGATGAAATAATTGCCAAACAAATCTTGTTCAAGCCACAACACAGGGATAGAGGTAAGCGGTGAGAAAGAGTGTTATTGTAGCTATTGATGGTAAGTATAGGGGGTAGACCAAAATTAACTATAAATGAAATAGTAAAGAAATACATAATAACTTATGATTTAACAGAGAGCATGTCTTTTAATAAAGCACAATGACGAAATAGGATTCATGTAGCCGACCTCAAAAATATTGAGACAAAGCTGAGTTGAGTTGAACTTAGTCACAATATCCTGTTATGCTTAAAATAAACAGTTTAACCCCATTCCCAGGAGAACTATAATTCATAATGGAAAAGAATGCAGAAAGATAGTTGAGCAAGCATGGTTCTAGGTATCGGCCGAGTCCGATACGACTCGGCCGAGTCATGTCCGACTTAGCCACTGCCGATACGATAACGGTACACGAATAGAAGAAATCTCAAAACGAACAAACATCAGCGATATCTCGTGCGTCTCGTCCGAAATCAAAGGACTCGGTCACACTCAGTTGATTCGGCCGATTTCCAACCGAGTCATACCGATTTGGATGTAAAGCGTTTGACCACACCAAAAAACAGAGTGTGCCAAAAAAAAAGGCAAAAGGGAAGAAGTAGCATAATTTTACCCCATTGGTTTGAGCCCTAAATCATAACAAGTAAGTTAGAACAAAATTGAACACAAACCTAAAAAATTGTAGTAAATCTCCCTAATCAGAGACCCTTTCCTACTATTTGTTCTTACTTTCCTTCTTCTTTGCAATAGCAGAGGACCCAGCATCATCGATCAACATTGCAAATCAATTGCAGAAACCCTAGCGAGCCTCCCAGTGAGCCTTCAACGACCAGCGAGCCTCCCAGACCCATCGTCTTTATGCTCTCTCTCGATGCTCTCTTTGTTCGTCGAAGACTGAGAATTGAAGAGAATTTTTTTTTTTTGGGTCAATATACGGGGAGGCTTTGGCCTAAAAGGCCTATTTATTCTCCCTCCCCCCCTTTCTTTTTGTTTTTTTGGTTTTGGCCCTTTTTTTTTAATTATATAATTTTTAATATTTATCATGCAATCTAATTAGAACTTAACTTCTTAAATTTGCTTTTGTATATGTATTGATGATTTAATAATTAAATGTGTATTATGGAGAAAATACATATAATTTCTAATTAGATACATATTAAATGAAGAATTTCTTTATAAATAGATATTCATTTTTAAAGCTATTAAGTTAACCATATATATACACTTATATTTTTTTATAATTTTTAAAAATTACAAATTATATTATATTATCCTTGAATATAGATGATAATAAATATTTTTCGATAGCATACTTATTATTCTTTTTTACAATGATTAATGTGTTAAATAATTTGTTTTAGGGATATGATGCATAGATGATGATGTTTATATTTATTACAAATTTTTCTAATTTTTTCAAATGTTTTTGAGCTTTCTATATAGTGTTTTGGGCGTATCGGCTGATACTGCGCCGCGACGCCGGGACCGATGTGTCTCAGTGGTCTCCAAGTCAAGGGCCGATACCGCAACTTTGAACCATGTGAGTAAGGTACCAACAAAAAAGGGGGAAAAGGCCAACACCCATTTGGCTCACAAGTGAACAAAGCTAACACTGGAAATACAAAACCATAAATAGTCAACCAAGCCAAATAAGACGGTTGTAATTCCAAGTAGATATCAAGTACTCCTAATAGCGAAGAAATTCAATATGGGTGTACTCATCCTTGTTTTTTCTGTGACAAGTATACCGTCAACTTTTTTGAGGATTGCACATGGGCAAGGTGTGCTAAAATGCATCAAGGCTTGAAAAGTTAAGCATTGGTGTACCCCACACTAAAGTTGTCATGAGTCCTATGCCTCCTATTGTATTTTTCGTTCCTTTGTTGCTTATCAAAATGACTCAGAATGTATCTGTTGTTTTATGTTGTGTTCAATTGCATTTTGGTAGGTTTGTTGTCCCATTTGCTGCTCCATGTACCATTTTTGCATAAACTAAGTACAAATGTTTACATTTTCCTAGGTCAAATTGTTTTAGCAATGCGGTTAAAATGTCCAAGTGTTTCTGACATATTTTGTGGTTTATATGTAACTTATTTTTTCCCATAATGGTATTTTACAATTGGTAAGCACAAAAGAAAGAATCAAAATGCTCACATCTTTTGCCTTACGGATTAAACCAAGCTTCAAGGAAGCAAAACCCCATGCCTAAAACTTTTGTCTTTCAAAACTATTGGAACATTTGGAAAGAGAACCAGAATTTTGCCAGATGGTGATTAAAGACAACATAGAGAACTATAGGATTTAACATCAATAGGTATATCGTAGGCCTCTTTCTACCTATATCTGTAAACCAACCACCAAGATATATTGTTATAAGTCATACAGGGTTATGTGGAGCCAGTAGGTACAATGAAGCAGAATATGTATCAGTGGGCAACTATGTGGATAAAGGCAAACACAAAAATTCTATGGTTCTAGCAGCGACAGTAATGCAAAAAGTACTAGGACAGGAGTAAATAGAAAATGGAAGAAAAATTACACCAAACGTACATCTGAAAGTGTTGTCTCGAAGTGCTTTGATACGAATGGTTCCATTGCCGCTAGCAGGCCACTAGTCGTCGTTAACTCAATTAGACAACCCCACTGGTGGTTCAGCTCACTAATATTTGTTGCAGTGAGAATGACTACATTTAGACACTTGATCTACAAAACATAACCATGGATACTCAAGTTTTCACTCAATAAATCATATAACATATATGGGCAGACACAAAATAGTTGGTCAAAAAAGAAAAGAAAAAATGCATATCAGTCACAAAATAACAAATCTGAATATAAAAGAGCACAACATGGGCTATTGACAAGATGCAACAGAATGGACTAGCATTGAAAATAGACACTGAAAAATTAGAGACAATAAAGGATGGACATTGCTATCTTTCTCAAGCACCAAGAATAACTTTGCTAGGACGCAGTTAACCACAACCTAAAAAGCCTGGAAGCTTGTGTAATGCCTTCTTCTCCAAATAGGACCAGAAATACCTTTTTTATGTTTTGATCAGGAAATGCATTGACAAAAATACAGCAATTAGAAACTGCAATACAAAAGTGTATAAACCATAACAAGATTGTCCCACACTAGCACTACTGCACGGGAATTCTGCCAGACGCAATCCTTTCACAGGAATAGCTTCAGGTACACCTATTACAATGTTCAACACCCAATAACCATTTTGGTCTCACAGTAAGGAAGACCAATCCAGTAACCCAAGCCTATTTGCAAGGTTTTTTAAATCCACCAGTTAGGTATATGTATATGATCACCAACCAATACTAGCTTTGGCTAGATCGGTCAGAGTGTACACAGTAAAATGACAATAAATGTTTCAACTAGCTAGATCATCCCCAATTGGCTGAAACTCACAACGATCTTCGAACCAATCATAGGCTTTATTGAGATACACAAAGCTTTCCCTCTAAGAACTGTATGAAACACTTTCATCTCATACTGCTCAAGTGAAAACACTCGAACAGTAGTTGCAATGGATTTACAACAGAAAGTTTGAAACATCTTAATTTCTGATTCAATAGTCTCTGAAGGTAAAAGGAAAGGAAAAACCTCATTCAAGCTGTTGTTAGGTCCCCATGATTAGCAGCTTAACCCTTTTCTAATATGTGATATTCTTCAACATTGTGTCCTGCTTTTAAACTTAATTCAAAACAATTTCTAAAAAAATTAGAAACAAGAAAGAGGACGTCCTTCATGCTTCATTTCCAGCATTATGAGATGCACACACTTCAACACACGATACTCATACTCAGCATCAATACCCCAGTATAACTCTTATTTCATAGTTTTAATTTTTTGGCCAGGTAAAAGACATCACAGAGACAAATCAAACCTAAGGCAGAAATATTTTTTCTCTTTAACGAGTCATACATGGTATGGACTTTAATTTATAATGGCACTAAATCCTCTCGTCAGCATGCAAGTTAAAATGGCAGTACAAAACAACAGGATCACTAACACGCGAAATAGATCATCATAACCTTATTCATTTCCTGTCCATTCATCTTTCACAATAGCTTATTAACATCCAGCAGGATTTAATATCAGCAAATAAAAATGCTGCAAGTCCAGACTCTAAACACATACCAGAGGCACAGGCAGCTTTTCGTGATGCAGTAATTCTGTGATACTCTCGGGCAATTGAGCCATCTGGCAAACAAAAATGAAAAAAGGAAAAAATCAATCAGACCAATTTCATGCTTGAATAACTCAAAACCATGCAACTACGGGATATAGGGACAAATTTAAACTGTCTCTGTGATTGATTGATGACAAAGTTTTAACATTGACACTGGCTCCATAGTAGGCCCAAAGTACTAGTAGGATATGACATAAGTTGACAAGTGGATTCCTATATTGTGGATTCCTATATTGACAGTAATATTCCAGCACCAGATTTGCCAACTATAACATAAGCAGTGAAACTGTAATTTCCTGCACCCAGTGGTCGGAAATCTCTGCTGTTATCATTTTTCTCTCTCTAAACTTTGTAATTCTCCAAGCTTTAGGTTATCATGAAACCAGTCTCAGATAATTCATGCTTTCATAGTAAGCACAAAGACGGCAACATTGCATCATAAAATTTTAAGGAATTTCAGAAACAATCAGACGTTGAAATTGCAATACCTCGATCCGATCCCCGGTGCACTTTTCACCCATCAAATGTCTAAGACATTCCTCAAATTCTTCATCAGGAGCCTGAATTAGAAAATCGAAATTACTGAATGTTATTACTACTAGAACTCTGCAGATTAAAATGTACAAAATATTAGTTTTGCCATCACTATCTAGTTCATCCAGTCATGAAGATGATTAGCATATCGGAAACCTCTTCTTCAAGAATATCAGGTTGATTTGGTGAGGTTTGGGCAAAAAGAAGTATGGTTTTGACCCATATCAGATTAGAATGGCCAATATCTTATATATTCTAAAAGTTTACAAATGCAGCTAAACAACAGGCTGATATGGCATAAGGGAAGGATCTCTTCAATAGATATGGCATACCAAACGAACACCAAATGCTTTCGCAATCCCTGCGACAGTAACATCTGAAGGCAATGGACCAACCCCTCCATATATGAATACCTGCAGCGGCAGCTCAATTTTGGTCCACACAAAGAATCAGATGTCAGAAAGACAAAGCACCAAAGGAGCTCTCTCTCCCCCTCTATTTTAAGGATCAAAATAGCTCTAGAACAAATAAAGGTTTACCATGTCATTTACGGACTTCTGTCTTTCTACTTCTTCCGCTAAAGAATCTACCTGGATTGAAAAGAGTGTCAAAAGGAACCAAAAACTAAACGGGAACCCAATAGAAGGGAAAATTCCAAAGCTCCTCAATGTTCATCATTTAAAAATGCCTAAATTAAGAAGCAGGACCATAAGTTTGTAGTCAGCTAAACAATAAAGATAAAGTTGGCACATGCACAACATTTTCAAATGAAATTGATCTAGTTCCATAAAGGATTCAGAAACTAATAAATCAAACTGAGCTGGGTACAAGACATAAATTGATATACATATATGCAGGTAATCCAAGCTTTCCTCAATCTTAATGAGCCAATGAATGTGACATCCAACCGTTTTTAAAATTATTCTCACAATACCCAACTTGCCTGCTTGTACAAAATGGAAGAAATTTCCATCCTATTGATGTAAAAGTGAAACCATACTAAAAAAGTTTGCAGTATACTTTAACACCTAGGTCAATATCTTTCATAGATTAGCACTCTGCAGCTATGTTGCTGGGACAATATTTCCATCTGATCATAATAGCTATATTTTTGTTCCCATAAATATATTCAATCATACATAATGATATTCAGGCACTGTGCAACAATCCCAGTATTTCTTTATGACATAATTTTCAGAATAATGGGAGGGTGTATACATTGTTACTGATAAACTTCTTTTTAATACGTAGATTATTTCTTATATCAGATAGTAATGCTGGAAAACTATTTCATAATGACTCACATCATTTCGGACAGCAGTAGTTTGTGATACCGCCCAACCTATAGAATGGAGCTTTCTACACAAGGAAGGTCCCAACTGGTCCTCAACAGTGCCAAACCTGAGCTATGGACCAAATAGACAAAAATAGATGTAAGTAATTGCAAAAACCAGGAATTATGGGTATCAGATCATATATAGCATCACATCATGACAATCTACAAACAAAACACAAAACAAAAACTTATGGCGGAATGTTCAGAAGTCAAAAACTACTAAGAAATTGCAATAAAATGGCAAAAAAGAATCACGAAGTGATTTAGTGACTGAAAGCAAATCCTAGAGAGACTAAAGTATTCAAGACAACAGAACATGTCAGAAAATAAAAACAAAAAGGAACATTTCAAGTCGTGACAAATCATAACAATTACAAACACACAAAACGTCATCGTCTACAAGAGGGAAGAGCATCAACCAATGCATTATGGACCACATAACAAATGACTCCGGAAAGGTAAACGCACAGAGACCTTCCCAATTGAACAGCGTAATAACGAGTAGCTTACAGAATCTCATCACCCACAGCAATGACCGAGGCTGTGCACATCATGTTTCGTTGCGGATCCACACTTTTCAGACCGTTGCTAACGGCAGGAAATAGCCCACAAACTGGAGGAGCAAGCTTTTTCACCCTTCCTGCTCTTTCTAATCTTCCGTCATGAAGCAGGTATGCAGGTCTAAATTGTTCTCTGTTATTGGTGGAATTGTTGATGCACAATAATGTGTTTGGAATTGTGTCATGTACGCTCCCAATAGAGGTATAACTGTGGACATGAAAAGCAAAACCACAAAGAATGCTTTATAGGAATCAAAATAAAGAAATCCTGTATGACTTCGAAAAGGAAGTCCACCTCAAAAGCATATTCTATGTTGCATGGGCTCTAATAAATGCATGAACTACACATGCTGGATACTTGTGACCTGGGTAAAGGTAAGTGATATGTTGTTAAACATGTCCAATTGTAAAACTCTCATTGATATGTGCATTTAGTTGCATCCTTGCTTCAAACGAGCGAAGAGCTCATGTTGAGCACACTAAACTATGAATTAGCTGTGTCCCTGTGTCACTGGATTTGGGGACTAAACAAAACCAATCCCTAGACAAACGACTGCTCCTGCCAAATGTCCATGTAACGTAGAACATAGCTTTTCTAAAAGAAACAGAAATCATATAAAATAAAATCATATCCTAAAATGAAAAAAAAAAGTACATATAAAAAACAAGAAATACTCAAGAAGTATAGGTGTAGAATTACCCTTGATCATAGAGACTGCAGTATTGAACTTTGCAAGTCAAAAGAAAGGCCCATACGTCTCTGTCAAATTTAATTAAGGAAGTTAACCCTTCATAATGAAACTTCCAAACTCTATAAGCATCCACTTCATACAAAAATAAAATAGACAGGCAATAAAGAAAAACTTCCAAATACAATAAACACAAGGAATTTCCATTTTATGAGCTTGTAAGGCCTGTTGAACTCTCTGAAGAAGAAGGGCGAAGTTTGCCCCCTCTTATGTAAGTTAATGAAGAAGTTGTCTTTGTTTTAATCTTCCATTGAGGCTCGGTAATATCTTTGTCTTAAATTTGTCGTTCTCTTTTTGGATTGTATTTTCACTATTTTGGAGTCTTAGATTTTTTTTTAAAAAAATTCCGTGCCTTAAAACTGCCATCTAATTAAAGCCTTTATTACATCACCTACAACAAACCAAGTAGTAAAATGTATTATGGTAATCAATAAATGCCCCAGCTATTATTCATTTCCCAGTAGTGAATAAATTACTCTCCTCCAAAAAACCAGTCACTGCCTGCCTAAAGAATCTTAAGTAGCTTGGTACATAAGCACATGTATCCAAGCTCATTGTACAATAACATACCTGTATGACCAATCTAAGATTGGATTCACTCTCATGAAAGGAGGCCATCCAGACGAGCTAGGGGAGAATTGTTCTTGACCTACCTGCAAGATAATGATCAGATGCATAAAGTAACATTTCATTGTAATCTATCCTTCAAGCGAAGTTATGCCAAATTTGGAAGACAATCTAGTCTAGTTAAGAAATGTATTGACATACAGCAGTAGGATCACCAATTCGGACACCAAGAAAAATGGCTCTGATTGGTTCAGCCTTTAAAAGAGCCTCCAAACCAGACTTGAAATCCAGGCGAATAATATCCATTTGCAAATTGTAACTGATCCAAGAAACATATGTCAAATCAAAATCCAGATGCTTGAGATTATATATAGAACGGAATATATTCTCATGATCTATCTGTCAAACAGTAGAAACTTTGTTCTGAGGGAGGGGGGGAGTGAGGGAAAAAAAATATATAAGGAAAGCCTTTTCTCACGTAGAGGCAGTTTCATAAGTGAATGAGTTGATTTCAGAGAAGGCAGAAGAGCTCTCAAAATAAATTGTCCGGATAGGAAATTTGAATCCACAATCACTCAGATCCCCATTGCAATGACTTTGTTCCGCTTTATGCAAAAAATAGCCTGCCCTAAGCAGGTGTAATAAAACCTACAAACATCAGTTCCTTGTCAAACACTGACTGAGGAGACAAATTATTGAGAGCTTATCAGCTTACTCAAAACAAAACAATGCAGAAACTTACAGTTGAGTCCTTTCCTCCATTGAAACTAAAGGCGACCTCTTCAATACTGTCCAGGAAAAAAAAAATCAGTGCGCACCAAATTTATTTGAACACAGATGGACAACACTGAAGAACATTATTTTCATGCAGTTCATAGTGAAGAATTCATACAAAATACGTAAATAACATTTCTCATGTAATCAAAGCACCACATTTTTTGGACTTGAGAAACTGGTTACAGTTGTTTCCATAACACACACATGGGGAGAGGGAATAAGAGACCCGAATATGATAACAGCCAGGATGGTCCCAGAGCCACTGGGTCATCCCACGCCTTCCTCAATAAACTGAGAGCTTACTTGCTTATTAATTGCAACTTGTTTATCGAACAATGTGATATTCCTTCAGCATGACAAGCCCAAAAACATTAGCAACATCATATACCAAAGTAACCAAACCAATTGTTGTCCCAATTATTTGGGGAAATGCAACATTCTCCATATCACATCTATATAGTTCAGCACTATCAAAATTTTAAGACTACATCCTTCATGATGGCGCAAACTTTCTGTTGCAGTTGCTAGGAAGCAAACAGTACTCCACTCAAACACTTAAACTGCCAAAACATCAAGTTGTCTAGAACAAATTCTCTCCCCCCTAGCTTCCATCCTGCAAGCGTCCATAAATAGAGCTCATATTGGCTCATTCTTAATTAAGATAGAGTTACGTTATCTCAGAAGGTGGCACTTTTTTAGCCTTTGCAGCAAATTTTTGGCCTATGGCCATTATTATTCCACGAGAATAGAAGACACAAAACATTTAAGGTGTTAAGTAACAAAACAGAATATGTTAACCATCTTCTTGTTAATTTTCAGCAAAAACTGCTAGTTATGGGGGCGATCTACCTGTGTTTTATCATCAATATCCATTACAGGATAGTTTATTCTTTTTTTCGGTGATTGCTGATACTTACATTGTTACTAGATTCATGAGAAACAAAAATCAAGTACTGACCAATTAAAATGCTTTCATGGTTCAAAGTCGCGGTATCGAACCTCGACTCGTAGGTTACTGAGACACATCGGTCGCGGCGTCGCAACGCAGTATCGGCCGATACGCTCAAAACGCTATGTAGAAGGCTCAAAAGCTTTTGAAAAAATCAAGAAAAATTGTAATAAATATAAATATCATCATCCATACATCATATTCCCAAAAATATATTATTTAACACATTAATTATTAGAAAAAAAGAATAATAAGGGCGCTACCGAAAAACATTTGTCATCATGTGCAAAGGAAACACATACAAAAGCATTTGGGACGTATGCAATATTTTGCTCTCAATTTGGACAAGTATTTGGGACCATTGGGGAGGAACAAAAAAGAAAACCAAAAAAAAAATATCTTTCGAGTCTTTTTATGGTTTGACAAAGAAAGAAAAAAGAGGGGTTGTAGGTGTAATTAATATTACAAGAGGGAATCTGACTAAACCAAAAAAAAAAAAAAGGGGGTTGTAGATGTAATTAATATTAAAAGGGGGTTCTAACTAAACCAAAAAAAAAAAAAAGGGAAAAAAGTATATGTATAGCATATACAGTTGCTCTTACTCAGGCAACGATGAACGAAACAAGAGAGCAAGAGAGAGAGAGAGAGAGAGAGAGAGAGAGAGGCAAAACGAGAGAGCGAAAAAGAGAGAGAGGCGCAAAATGAGACAGCGAGAGAGATCGAGACTGAGAGAGGGAGACTTTGGGTGGGCTGGACTGGATCTGGTTCGCTGTACAGGTTTTTTTGCAAATCCTTTTAATTTCTGTTTTGGGTTTGTTGATTTCTTCTACTTTAGTTTCTGCATCTTTGGGTCTGTGAATCTACATGTAGAATTGATCTTCTTCTCCTACCCTTTTTTTTTTTTTTTTTTTTTTCTGGTTTTTTACTTTGATCTATTGATGACTCGGTCCGTCTCAAACGATCCGACTCCGATTTTAATCGATATCTCCGAATCGTGACCGAGTCAACGCCGATTCGCTTGAGTCTCGTGTTATTAGCGTACCGTGTAGCGGTATCGGATCGGTGATGGCTGAGGCAGATACGACTCAACCGAGTCGTATCCAACTCGGCCGATACTTCGAACCTTGAATGCCTTAACACCTATCAAAGCTACATTCCCTTTTGTAACTGATGCAGATACAGGTAAGCCAACTACATTAACTCTGTAACAAAGTCAAAACATTAGACTAACCACAAATGCACTTGCGGTAAATCAAACGCGAAATGGGAGCTCATTGGAAACTGAAGCAAAATTTGATAGCCTCGCACCAATAAGAAAAGTAGTACTTGGGTAATTTTTCCTTGATCAGTTCAGTTATCTTACTCTTTTTTTAGAGGGGATCTCACGTGCCTCCCGGTCGGAAACAATGAAAGAGATCTTGATAGTTTTAATTAGAGAAGTACATTCTGCAATATTATTATAGACTTGTATGGAAAGAATGTGGACATTTGCAAAGCAAGGAAGCATAGAGTTGATTTCAGTTGCAACTTACACCAATTCCAAAACCAATGTCCTTTATCAAAAGTCCTGTTCATAATTACAGATTTTTTTGGATGACAAGTGCCCCCAGAAGAGGTTTAAAGACTACGCTGGGGAAAGAGTAGCCTCCTGACAGCCGTAGCCATCATATGCGATAGATGGCATTTCTTTTGTTCATTTAACCTCTATGTTTCCATTTGGACAAGACCTCTTCACCAATATCATTGTTTCTTTCTTTTACTCTTTGCTTTCCATGAGCAAATCCCACAATAGGAAAATTAGGATTTCAATATGTCTTGGAAAAACAGAATTTTGATGATTAGGACCCAAAGATTGAAGAGGAAGGAAACAGCGAGAAATTCCTTGGTAACCAAATACTCATACAGTATTACCAATATTCCTCAAATATAGATCACATCTTCTGGTGTCAAGAACTCCAGCAACATGCCACAAATCAGTGGGAGCCATGGCACTAAGGACAATAGTCAAGGAAAGCAGATACTATTCCAGCACCTTCATGTCCCTTTCTCCATTTGTCCTAACACCTAATGGGAAAAACTTATTCATAAACAGTTTTCATTCTTCAATACCCATAATCATTTGATCTACCTACAAGGAAGAGCCTTTATCACCATGAACTTGAGTGCCCTAAAACAGTTCGTATTTGAATAAAAGAAGTAACATGCTTCAGCTGCCAAAATATCATATTGTTGTGTATACCAAAAATGAAACTGCGAGCTCTGGTGTCATGCAGTTCCACATCTTCCAGGCTTATGAAACTACACCCACAGATTCAAACAAACCTTGAAAGCAAATGACGGAAAACCACCGCATTACAAGCAAAGAGTTAGGTGTGCACATGCCCATTTTTCAATATAAGTTACTTAATACGAAAACCGATGATTGTGCAATGACATTCCATCAAAAAAATAAAAAAGAGGCAGATTGTCGAAGAACTAGTTGAAAACAAAATTTAACGCAAGACAAGGTTTATAAAATATACTTACACGTCGGTTTTCACTCTAAATTCACAACTTCTCAAAACCCACATTAATGCCATGAGAATTAACCCACCAAGGAAGTGAAGCAGAAAAGTAGGTTCAAAACCCAGCTCAAGAAAAACGTAGAATACATAAACAATTTAAAAGAGAACAAAAAATTATTGAAAACCTACGAGTAGAGAGCTAGAGCCCTTTGGATGACATAGATGGCATTGTTGTACTTTGTCTTCAGCCTTCGATCATCGCTTTCTCTGATTGCCTTATCGATCTCCATTATATCTGAAAACTCTCTGCAAGAAAGACGTACTCAAAAACAAAGCAAACCAAATGGGTCTCCCTGAATTCCAAACAAGTTTCATTATTTCCCAAAACAAATCAAAGAAAAGTGGGTTTCTATGAATTCAAGAAAAAATTCATTTACTCAAAAAAAAAAAAGGTTAACAACAGAGAGAGAGCAATGGCTCTCTATAAAATTGAGCAAAAATTACATGCTTTCTACAGATTCAAAGAAGAGCAAAGACAAATGAGTAGGTACTAATTTCAGAAAACTATAACTCATTGTAATGTTTGAACGAAATTCACCTGTCAAAGGGTTCAAGCGGAGAGGTTGGAGAGGTGAGAAATCTTCTCTGTATTTTTGGAGTCAAGAAAGATACATTCGCGTATAGGCCACCGAGAGATGCACATATTGTCTATATATATATATATATATAGGGTGGGGCTTATCCACCTCTGAAATCCGCTTCCCACCTCCATTTATCGCTCCTCCTGCAAATTACTAAATCCAGCTTATTTATACATACACTAAATTTACCACATTTATATCCATGCAATTAAACTATTAAATATATATTCAAAGAAAACGAACCAAAAATAATAATTAAGGTGAAATTTTAATATTTCATGTTGATATAAAATATTTAAAGGTATTTGAGATATTCAGACATATTTTCACCAATATCTTTAGAATATTTTGAGATGTTTTAAAAAATTTGTATATTTTGACTAATATTTTAAAAATAAATTGTTAAATTTTTTATTTATATTCTAGTTCTTAAATATTTTCGTATCAAAATAATACACCTAAATAAAATTTTAATTATTGCATATATAATAAGTTGAAATAAAATTGAATGAATTTAGTTTTTAATTAATGAATATAAATAGAGTGAATTTAGTAAGTAATGTGGTAGGTATAGATAAGATAAATTTAATAATTTTAAATAAAATGAGTTAGAAAAAGAGATTTAATAGGTGTGAATAGCCCCACTCATATATGTGTGTGTGAGAGAGAGGGAGAGAGAGGGAGAAAAAGAGAGAGATGTAAGTAAAATAAACAAAGCAATAATGTGTGGTCCCTTTTTTAAAAAAAAAAAAAAAAACCAATGTGCAGTCCGGGCTTTATTTGATTTTAGCTTTTTCTTACACGCAAATTGTAATGAAGATGCAATAAAGTGGGTTTGCTCTGGTCAAAATTCATCTCTATGCCTTCAAAGTACAAACTCTTGTTATTCAAGTAATGACTTTATTAAATGATTTCTATGTTATCATATGTAAAAATAAATAAAAAATATTAATCGAGATGAAGGTGCATCCATCTCTTAATCGAGATGAACACAAATTGATTCAGACAATTTTAATCATAATAAAAAAAAATATATATATATATATATATATTTCAATCTAGGGGTAGCCGAGTCCAGCATCATAAACAAAGACAATTCCGCAATGAAGAGAAGGAACATGAAAGATGCTGAGAAAATTCAACCACTATAATGGCCATTGACCGTTGACCAGCAGCTCCTTTATCCTGTTTTTGATAATTCTAGGCCGCTGATTCTTCGTCCTATCAAACTTCCATGATCCTTCTCATTGTCGTCAAAGTCATCTTCTTAAGTTCCAATCGGATAGAAGCTTCCTCAGATTGAATTTGAACCGTCCATGAAAAATGAAAACAAAAACGTAACTCCTAGTCCTAAGGACCGAGGCCCAGTCATCCTTCGTTTGCAATTGACTTTTTGACCAATGATATCGAGATGGTGAGGTTCACGGTATGATTTGTTATACAAATTTAGTTGGTATGTCATTTTAGATCGTAATTAATTTTTTTAATACTTGTATATAGTAATATATTCATATACACATAATTAACAAATATATTCTATATTTCAGATAAGTGTTATCAAAAAATGAATTTAAAGAATACCAAAATAAAAAAATAACAAGTTAACCTTGCAATTTAGGTTTAGAAATATGATATGAAATTATTTAAATTTGAGATTAAGATTTTGAGTAATTTAGATTACGAATCCACCCTATTTTGTGGAACGCGAGAAGTATTTACAATTTCAACATCTATAATTTTGACAATATTTGTTTGTGCATAACTAAATCTTTCGGCATGTCTTAGTTCTCGATCAATAGTGCAAAAAACTCGAGTTTTTTTTTTTTTTTTTTAAATTTCCTCCTTCGGAAATGAAGGAAAGGCATCAACTTCGGCTTATGGGTTTGGCCGGGCTAGCCAACCAATGATCCATAACAGGCAAGACCGGTAGCTGCTTGCATAATGGCCCGCTTAGATGCCTACTTCTAAAAACTCTGCGGCCCATAGCTTGCCCATATGGCAGACCAAGGGTCAGGCCCATAGATAATAGGCCATTGGTCGATAACTTCGGCTAGTTTATTATACCACGAACTGATTGTACTTTGGCAATACATAATTTGGCTGATACGCATTTAATGACACATTAGAACCCTTGTAGTAGTGGAGTAAATGTTGATCGGAACTATTACACTACGTAAACAAAAGCAATGCTATAAAAATCTTATTTGGAGACCTAATGATGTGGTTTCAATGCAGTCATTAGATTAGTTGTGAGTTCCAATGTTAGATAAAACCCACAACCAATTCAATAGTTGTATTACATTAGATCTCTAAATTAAGACTAAATAACATTTTTCCGTAAACAATATCATGTAATAAAATTGTCCAATAATAACTCAACAAGTACGTCAATGAATCCCATTTTTTGAATATATGACGATTATTGTCTTACGTGACAGAATAATTATTTGCAAGAGTGAGATTTATTTTGCCTAATTGTTAAATTATCATTAGACGATTACACTACGTGACAATACTGATGTGATATAACTGTTACATTCAATATTCACTCGCAGATGTGAGGGTTAAGCTTGGCTTGGCATAAAGCTGCATTGCTTGAATCATCAAAGAAATGAAGCAAGAGACTTTAAAATTGCCATTGCTAGCACATTAAAGCATGAAACATATACTATTGACTCAGAGAGTAAGCTGACCAGGCACTTACAAGAAAGAAGCAATGAATATAAAGTATATCCCATAACACTATAACAGTACCAACTCTGTAATTCATACAACAATAGGTATTTCATAGCCAATGACCATCAAATCAAACTATATTTCAGTAAGTCAATATTCCAGTAAAGGGACTCTTGCTTATGCAATCAAAGAAACGAGAGAACCCAACTATTTCATTCAGCTAATGTGTTGAGTGTAACTGGTCGTGTGAGGTATAGGCTTAAAAAAAAAAAACTGCAGAATGTTATTGCTGCCCACCAAGGAAGTTTCACTACTCACCTAGTCGTAAAGACCTTCTTCAAGCCAGATATCAACTAGAAAATCCACCATCTCCTGCGGCATCAACAAAGATAATGAACTGACATCCGCAATAAGCAGGCACTAGAGAGGCGTACAGAAAACTTACAGCTAATGGAATTGACTCATGAAATGGTTCAGTAGATGAAAGCAGCTCCTCATAAGTAGTTGTCCAGCTGCAAGAGAAGATATGTAAGGTCAATTTTTCTTAGGTCCCTGTATACCACAATAGGTTCAAGTAGCAGAAACCTCCTCTAAAGTTCTATAAAGTGACAATAGCCTCTTCTTTTAATCCTGAATTCCCAATGTACTACTAAGCTATCTGGAGGTTGGAATGTCTATCTCCTCCTCGTGGGTGGCCCGCAGGAAAAGTAAGCTTTTCTGGAAATGTCAACATTATTATTCATGGAAATGTGTATGTGCTTATGTTTGCAAATTGTGCAAGTGAACACATACCAGGCCAAAACAATTTTTTTTTTTAAAACAACCCGTGCCATAACTTGACAACCGTAAAAACGTATATATTTAACGTTTTTTACATCCCATAGCATGATTAATTATACTAACATATAAAATCAACCCTCTTTCTGGTTTGCTATAATTTGAATAATCCCCATGTCTTTCTAAACATTATTAATGGAATTTAAGGTGACTATATTTTCAAACTACTTGAAATTGCGCCATCTCTTCAAGACTCTAATATTTTACCACCCCGCAAATACAGAATGAAACAAAGATGCCGTAAAAAAGAAAGAGCGCTACTCATGCTGCGGCTACCTTCTACTTTTATACAGAGAACTAGATTCTATGCCTTGAGCCTTCACCAATTTTCTTTAAACATAGGATTAGATCCATTAATCAATATGAATAATATTGTATATACTGAATTACATGGGTCGTCATTTCAAGTTCTCACAACAGAACACATTGATTGTTACTATTGAAATTTGGAAACTCTTCCAGGTCTCTAATGCAGAATGGCAGGTCAGTCAAGTAAGGGATCTAAATGCTTCATTCACCATATTGTATTCTGTTCATCTTTTTTTTGACAAACTAATTCCTTCCCAGTAAGGCATAAAGCAAAAGGATTGGAAAGGAAAAAAATTAACAAAAAAAGAGCAAAGAAGAAGAAGAAGAGGCAAAAAAATGTAATCACTGTACAAGTCTACTAATATCTACATGATTTCGCTGATATCTGTAGAAGCTTGAATAAACAACATATTTTATGTTGTGTCTCATGAATGTGGAGAGTAAAAATGAAAAATGACAATGGTCAACCTTAAAAAAATACATAATCATGAAAAAATAAATATGGAAGTGAAAGTTATATGCTAAAATGAAAAAGAATCAAATACCTCATAATTTGCTCCCTAGGCATTCTTTGTGATCTTTGAGATCGATTTTCACCGATCCATGCCCTTCTCCTCTCATGCCAAGCTATCTCAGCTGCATGGTAAGGCCATCCATAAAACTTTTAACAAGACCATAATTACTTGGGAATATTTACAAAGAGGACAACAATGTACTTGGGCTGCACTTGGTAATCTGGAATAAACAGCTATGAGATGGTACTGGTGAACTCCTGGCATTTTCACATTGAGACACAAGGATAAAAGTAACTCGGTTCGGAGAAAACATGCACGCACACCCACACAGACAAATATTACATCAGAACATAAAATTCACTACAGTTTTTGGGAAAGATGTTTCCTGGAATTATTCTGTCATCTAATGCATTAACAGAAGAAAAACCAAAACTTCCATCACTATTAATTACTATGCACACCTCGATCAATGGCATTAAGTCATTGACACATCATTCGTGCCAATTTTATCATCAGTTTCAAAATGTGGTTTTTTATTGTGAAGGTCACGATGGATTAAAGTTTAGATGGCTCAGAGCACCTATAGAAAAGATCATTAGATAGGAGACGATCCATTTATGATTCCAGCTGAGAAGACTAGTACAAGGAAGGATCAAGAATGTTAAATATTTTAGGATTTAAGGTTTAGTTACTGTCTGTACTCTGCAATCACTATAAGTCTATAACGCTGTTATGAGGATTTAGTCATGACTTTCGCAAGTTTGAATTGGCAAAGTCCAATGTGCTAGTCAAATCATTAAGGATGGCAGGGAAATTTAGATTTGAGCAAACCATCTTGGCTAGGTAGTTCAAAAGAGGGGCAAATTACAATAACACCCTGGCATATGGGTTATATCTGGCCACCACTGGCATTTAAAAAATGGCATATGCAGATCCCAGTTGAAAATTTCTCGAAATGATCTATTTAACTTTGGTTCAAACTTTTAGTTCGGTCAAGATTGATCAAAATTGGAAGATTACGGAGAATTGGGTGTTTGTCTACCAGGTTCATACTGCCCCGTGAATAACTAATTTGGAAATTGGATTATTTTGTTTCAACAAGGAATGCAGGGGACAATTTTGGCATTTTGAGCATTATTTTAGTTAGCTTCATCTTTTCCGGTGTCTGGGGAGGTCTTATTGTTAAAAGTTAGAAATATCAGGGGTTGCCATGTTAATATTAAAACGGAAAGGGGTAACCGGATACTGTTAAAACAGACCTTTGCAAACTGATTTTCCCAATGCTTTTGAGCAGCTTAGGCACAAAGTTTGCCCAATTCCAGATTTATGGTTCTGCAACTGATGATGGCTGCCACAAAAAAATTTACTATGCACCTAGCAACAAATTTGAGTAAATTGTCTGCCCAACTCAACAGTTTATGAGGACAACCATCAAAATAATAGAATACCAAATACAAGTGCTTCAATATTTTGAATTTGTCCACTGAGGGGTCATTACCTAGTGCAATAGTAAAAGCTCATGCTAAGAACCTAAGCTTGTAGGTTTGACACAATAGCAGTCACTTTTTACAAATAACGCCAAAAGGATATATTATATCCAGTTCGTCTCCCCAACACCCTAGATTATGGGAACGAAATGGGTTCTGAATTCCTTACACTATTAGAATTTACTGAATGACACTACCATGATTAACAGTTATAGACAGCCGCTGAAAAGGTTATTATCTAGTTTGTTTCCCATTAAATGCCTTTGGAGTCTGGAGATGAACTGAGTACAGACTTTTCAAGCACAAACTGACTACACTCATATTCAAACCCCAAATTTTGAGGTTGTTAGTTATGACCTACTATGTGCACATCCGAACCCACAATCTTGAGGCTACTAGTTAGAGTATTTTCTCACTACACAAGGCAAAGGCAAGCTATCCTCCTAATTTCTATAATAACACATTCGTGCAACAATTCAATGCAGATGAAAGAAGAATAATACACAGCAAAAATACAATAGAACAGAAAATTGTGATTAATCAATCAAAGAATTCCAATATAATGCTGCACTGCATAGACGCCGGAACATGACACAAACTCTGTGTTATACATATGCATGATACAGAGACACTCCCTCAGTAACTAGATCCCCTTTGAAAATAAAATAAATAATTCAATCAGAAATGTTCATCCTCTCTTAGTTGGATTTTAGCAGGTTCCAAAACTAAACTAATAATGTTGAATTTTCTGCCATGTCTCCCATATATTGGGCATGTGTCAAGAAAGTGGAGATTTGTCAGTACCCAACACATCTTTGGCACATACTCAGTTCCTACATGAAAAGCGTAAGTAAACCATGGTCCATGCAATTGAATCAACTTGACTCTGTAGAATGATGTCTAACGCAGTGATTTTGGCACATCCAGTCTTTTATTGATCCTATACTTTTAACTTTTAAGGTCTTACATAAGAAGAATACTCCCAATGCAACACATTACTAATGCCTTTATTACTTAGTATCTTTATTTCGGTGGTTTTTTTTATTTGATATAATGTCGTTGTATTGAAACACTCCACCGTCATTATGCAGAAGGGAATACGAAAGGAAAAATATCACATTTGGCATGTTCCAAAATTGATCACTAGATCATCAGTTATGATAAACAAATAGCGGCAGTCTGAGGGGTTTGAGGTACAATTTCCTGAATGTTAAGAATAATAGGATAGTATATGTAAATTGTTAATAGTAAAAGGGTGTATGTGTAATTCTTATTATTGTAGGTTAACTATAAATACAAGTATAAGAGCTAAGTTAAGTTTTTAACCTCTCTCTAAATATTATCTCTAATATTATTGTTAATACTCCAAACTTAACATGGTATCAGAGCAGTTACGATCATAAACACACACACACACACACACACACATATATATATATATGTTGTGAATAAATTGATTATGGGTACTGTTCGTTGAACCCATCGTGGTTGTGGTGGAAGTTGTCGCTGTGGAGGTGTTGTTGTTGAGGTGGTGGTAGTCGACTGAGTGGTGCCTTGCTTTGTGTGGCGCTTTGCTGTGTGGTGGTGCCTTGCTTCGTGGTGGTGGGGTCAACGTTGGTGCAGTCGAGTTGACTGTGCCTAGTTGTGTGCTATGTGGTTGAGTAGTCGGCACTGGTATAGCCGACTATAGTGCAGAAATTAGGGTTTTGTTGAAACCCTACTCAGTGAAGAAGACAATGATCAAGTGGGTCGGGTTTTGGGTAACGGGTTGGGTCCAAGTCTACTTAAACCCAAGTCTCAGATCCAGATCCAGACCCGAATCTAAACCTAGACCCAAATCCAGATCAAGAACCGAATCCAAGACCCAGGAGACTTCGTTCGGATCAAGTCAGATTCAGACCAGACCGGTCCAAATCCGGATCAGACTTGGTTCAATCCTGGACACAGCCGGTTCAGGTAGTTTTTTTTTTTTTTTACTCCGGTTCAAACCATTTCCTCTGTCTTTTACACCGGTTCAGTGGTCCAACTCAGTTGTTGCTCCGGTTCATTGGCTCAATGTGGTTCAATAGTCTGGTGGTTTAGCGGTTCAGAAGGCTTCTGCAGTTCGGTTCATTATCTGATCCGGGTTGGAGGAAAGCTATGGAGAAGGAGATGGATGTTTTACATCATAATAAGACTTGGGATCTCGTTCCTTTACCCCCTAGTAAACGAACTGTTGGCTGTCATTGGGTGTAAACTGTTAAGTTTCATCCAGACAGTTTTGTGGAGTGTCTCCAAGCCCAGCTTGTTGCAAAGGGCTTTACTTAGACTTATGGTGTTGATTATGAGGAGAATTTTTCTCCTGTTGCCAAAATTTTCTCTGTTCGTATCTTAATTTATTTGGCTGCTAATCTTGATTGGCCCTTGTTTCAGTTAGACGTCAAGAATGCCTTCTTACATGGTGACTTGATTGAAGAGGTATACATAGAGCAGCCACCTGAGTTTACTGCTCAGGGGGAGTATGGTAAGAGTGTATGTCGGTTAAAAAAATCTTTGTATGGTTTGAAACAGTCACCGAGAGCTGGTTTGGTAAATTTTCAGATGTTGTTTTAGAGTTTGGTCTTTTTCGATATCAAACAGATCATTCTGTATTTTATAAACAGACAGATGCTGGATATGTCCTATTGGTAGTCTATATAGATGATATTGTGATTACTGAAAATAATTCTGAGGGGATTGTCAAGTTAAAAATATTCTTACAGTATCGATTTCATACTAAGTATTTGAGAGAACTCAGGTACTTCTTGGGTATGAAGGTGGCTCGATCTAAACAGACTATTTGTTTATCTCCAAGAAAATATGTATTTGACATGCTTGAGGAAACAGGTATGCTGGGTGGTAGACCGATTGATGTTCCTATGGATCTGAATCAGAAATTATTGATGGATGATAGTACATTATTTGAGAATTTAGGTCGGTACCGTAGATTGGTTGGGAGACTTAATTATCTCACTATTACTCGACCGGATATTTCCTATGTAGTCAATATAATAAGTCAGTTCATGGAATGTCCTAGAGTACCACATTGGGAGGCAATTACTCGTATTCTACGACATCTCAAACGAGCTCCTGGACTTGAACTGTTATATCGAGCTAATAGACACCTTAGAGTGGAAGGTTTCTCAGATGCTGATTAGACTGACTCTCCTTCTGATCGGAGATCAACCATTGATTATTGTACTTTCTTAGGGAATAATGTTGTCTCATAAAAAAGTAAGAAACAACCCGTGGTAGCGAGATCCAGTGTTGAGGCTGAGTATAGGGCAATAACACATACAACAAGTGATTTGACTTGAGTACTACACTTACTCTAGGAAATTGGGTTTCTAATTCAACTTCCTTTACAGTTGTTTTGTGACAACCAAACAGCTATCCATATCTCTGTCAATCCTGTATTTCATGAGAGAACTAAGCATATTGAGGTTGATTTTCACTTTATTCAGAACAAGATAGTAGTTGGGAAGATTACAACTCCATTTGTGAAATCTGAAGATCAGCTTGCAGATATATTTACCAAAACATTGAGTCGTACACGTCTTACAGCTATTTGTTCCAAACTTGAATTATATGATATATATAGTCCAACTTGAGGGAGAGTGTTAAGAATAATAGAGTAGTATATATAAATTGTTAATAATAAGAGGGTGTATGAGTAATACTTATTATTGTAGGTTAACTATAAATACAAGTATGTATAAGAGCTAGGTTAAGTTTTTAACCTATCTCTGTTTCTCTCTAAATATTGTCTCTAATATTATTGCTAATACTCCAAACTAAACACTGAAAATCAGAATTGAAATTCAATAAAGATGTTAAAAGGGGCAAACCATGGTTAACAAAGGCAGAATCACGAACGTCTTTATTAGTGGATGTCTTGTCTTCACTGATGTTTTTGGAGCCTTTTATAGGTTGGTTTACATGGGGATGAGAATTGCTTCCATTTTCCATCTTCCCCAAACTGAATGACCATCACCTTTCCTTAAATCACAAAACCTGCTCTATACCAAAAAGATTAAAAAATACATCAATGAGAAACAATCGATCATCATCACCACACACACACACACAGGTATTATGCAAATATTGAAGGCATGAAAATGGGCAGATACAGGCTACTTCATGTCATATCCTTGGTGAACATATTCACTAATGGTTAATAGAGGATCAGAAAAAGAATTGTAAAGAATAAGGCAAATCACAAAATATGCTTGTTATCAATAGCCAATT